CACACACAAACACTGTGTGCTCCAAAACAATTTGTGCAGGCGTTTCAGCTGTCTCGGCCCACCAACCCAAACACTAAGACCCACACCACATATCTCGAGTATATATATATATATATAACTACATATCTGGAGTAAGTAACATCAATGACCGGATGACTGAGCAAACAACTATGTGTTCCTTAGGAATCCAACTTCCAGCCTGTTGATGAAATCGATTCCAGTAGTCCGGGACGTAAACATGTTTTTCTATTTCCAAGACAATGTTAGCCCTTATTAGTTACGANAGTTACGAATATATATGGTGGCCCAGCGGTTACGTCACCAAATTATCGTCCCGAGGATGCGTGTTCGAATCCCACCTCCACCGCCTTACTTTCCCCTTTGTGTGTTGAATGACAGTCCTTTGATTTGCCGCTTCCTCTTCCTAAAAATTATATCTTCGTAGATGAAGTAAAAGGAAGTTAAATGAAAAGAAAGAAAAAACATAAATATGTATACTTCATAGAAGGATCAAAAGCTAGGGAGCACTGGACGGCTGTTTTGACAGCAGTATGAATCCATCGACCGAACTTCAGAGAGCGAACCCCGGGAAGTCAGAGGCAGATCACTAGCATCTTAATTCCTCAGCCACCGGGTAGCTGATTAGACCGTTTATCACATTCCATTTACACAAACAGTCAGGCTGAAATGTTTCCAACCTAGTCGTAACCCTGGGAGCTATTGCTGAGGTGCTATGTCCGCGTTAAGCGCGCAAAGATGTGCTGTACTATATTGTGATCAGCTGCTCGGCGTTCCGGTGTATAGCGTGTTTGCGTTCTACCTTTAAGATACCGGGTTCGATCCCCAGTGGCAACGATGGATTCGCACTCCTGATGAGACCCAACCCTACCCTAACAAAATGAATAAAACTATCCACTACTCCCATGTAATATATATGTTTATTGGGATATATGGACATGATTGGGAATCCCAAAATGAACTTGTTCGACACCTTATATTTTGCTTAAAATTTACTCTGAGACTTTCTAGCAAAATTCCATTTTATTTAGTATTTGCTAGCATGCATGACCACGAAGTCTTTTTTCTATGACCTAAAGCTGGACGATAAAACTATAAACTTTGAATAGAAGGATGCAGACCAATATTTCTTTCTCTATTGTTCTTGTAAAAGCGACCACCAGAGGATTTAACTCATAAAAATACATCTGTTCCCAATTCAAGCACAAACGATTCTTTCTGCAGACACAAACCGCGACTGTGTGCGTGTGGATTTACTGTAATATGCAAAGAGTACTACGTTAATGTGCACTCATTCAATGAACTTGATGGTACCGTTTAGAATGCTCTATGCAAAAGTGATACCAGCTACATCTTTTCCCATTATATTTCAGCGAAACCCTTCAATCCTGTAGCCTCGAACGGTAGTTTTTTTAAACTAATAGCCGCCAAAATTTAGCCTTGACCAAAGTTTCTTTATCCAAACCCACAATACTTTGGCCACGACCTGTAGTCCTTTGCCTTAACGCAACATCTTTATTCATGCCAATCTAACCAAGTTAGTTGAGAACATATCGTATTATTCTGAGGTCAAAGAATGTCGAAACATATTATTTTCAACAAATATTGCAGCTCTTGGGTATGCAATGAGAAGATGTGGCCATTGTATGCTGCATTGTGATTTGCCGTATCTTATTCACACCCACGCCCACTCCCAACCGATTTGGATCACCGATTGAAATGCCTATCGAAAACGACAAACTGAACACTTCGTCTTTTTGTGCGATAGCGCATTCGAGAAAAATAAATCACTATCACTTTCGATTAAACCTGGCTTGTTCAAATCTTCCAAGCTCATCGATTGTGTATTGAGTATAACTTTTGCAAGCACTGGAGTTCACATTTCAGTTAAAACATCACACACGCCAACCGTCACAGTATACATAATAAACTAGGAGAAAGTGTTTTACAGACATGGGGACATTTCATAAACCACGGTTAAGACAAAGGACATTTCTTGTTCACTTTTTGTTTGTGAGTAAACGTACAATATACGGTATAGGTGATTTGCGGTAAACGTTAATTCCAGATGAAATTGGGTGAATTTGGGAGCGTATTGAATGGTGAGAATGACAACTTGTCAGTTCTGCGTGCAATGGGTGGTCAGGATCTGTGAGAATCCTCTCAGTAAATTTCAAAAATCTTCTTTACTTTCACTGGGTTTCTGAAATTCGATAGTTGTTTAAAGTCTAATTTACTTTTAAGATGGATCATTTTTTCTCTTGTTTCAAGAGAACAAATGAACTTGAGAATTTATCACGAACAAATCTGATCTTTTCCGATCAATTGCTAGCATTTTTTCCAAGTTACACTTCTTTCCTGATACTATTCGGACCTTCTTTGGCTATGGAAAGGTCACATACATACTGCAATATCCGTCTGATAATGACAATTGTTTCAGAACGGTTTTTCGTAAAACGCACCGGAAAATTGAATCAAAATCTGAGAAAAAATTCAGCAGCATACCTCCGGGGCTAGCATGCTGCTCTCAGCACCTTTGCTGTGAATATGATAGGTCCCATCCGGATGACGGACCATCACAGACATACGTTTCCGAGTGGAATCGAATTCAAGAATAGCATCTATTTGATAGTTCAATTTTTCGTACTCCGGTTGATTGGTACGGTTTGTCCAATTTCTGCGCATCAATTCGGCCATTCTGAAACAATCATCTGACACGTCAAATGCGGTCAGTACGAGACCCAAGTTTGCAGCGGCGGTGACAAGCGCCAGTTCATCCGGGGATGTGGCCTTTGGTAAGAGAAATCAAGTTGAACATAACAAATCAGCATAGATACAAATAGTGTTTGGAACCGGGAAATTTTTTTCAATAGTTGAATGAGTAATATTGCAAATATGTGGACTACATTGAAAGTCCTTAAACGTCTCAAGTGAACTGTTACACCAGTTGATATGTTCAAACTTCCCGAAGATAGACCAAACAAGCTAGATCACCGAAAGATCCAATCAAAATTAGCAGATATCTTCAACTCGTATAATGCGTGCTTCAGATTCAATTAGAAATTTACTTTAAATTGTTTGTTTCCAATAAAGGACAGCAGATAGATAATTATTGATTAAGAAAGAGGGATTCAAATAACAGAAATGGTAAAACAAATGATGGTGCAAAATCTGTGCCTCGTGCCAACACAATCTTTCTTTGCATGACTGTTTTGACAAAAGAAACCATTTTATTGGAGATTAAGAGAAACACTATGACTTCCTGTATCTAAAACACAATTGGCAACTCCCTTTACAAAGCTTTAACTAGCTATGAAGTCTAAAACGAAGAAGATAGTTACCCGTAGTCAGCAACCAATAAAAAACATAAAATCAACAGAACTGTTAAAAAACGTCACCTACAGGTAAAGTTTGTGTTTTAAGTAGATCAAGTGAAACAATTTGCATCTGGTACAATTTTATTTTGGCTGATATATAGAAGAAAACAAATCTGAACATTGTTCAAGTTTTAGTTCAGTGAAGTTTGGGTGGATTTTTCAACACAAGTGAAGAAATTTAATGGCGGACTGTGATTTTAAATAAGTGTTATTGCAGTTACAAAATCAAAATCATATTTCGAAATTAAGCAGTGACTTTCAGTAAAATAATTCACCTAATTGGTGCTCCCATAGCACATAACTGTTATTTACCTTCAACATAACAAAAGTCAAAAAGAACCGCCCTGTGAATTTTGAAAAAAGTGGGTTTTTATCGTGATAAATGATTAATCATTTATACAAAGAAACCTTTAGGTTATTCTGAATCAAACGGCGGTCTAATCCCTAGATCAGGTATACGGAAAGAATTCTTTTTCTTTTAAGTGAACAGTGAATCTAGAATAAATTCGGTGAAAATGTTAAAGAACGTGAATTAAAATTTAGTTAACGTCCTACGTGATGTTGGAATGTGGAGATCCACTACGGCATCCTACATTTCACAGAACTGATGCTTATAGCTACAACAGTTATTTGTCCAACATTCTAGCGGCTGCAGTTCAACTTCATTCCATTCCTTCAGATTGTTTGATCGCGTGATCACGCGGTAAATTTAAGCGTATAGCGTACTAAAATACAATACCTTATATGAACTCTTATTCCCTAACAAAGCTCCCTGGGGAAAAAGCTTGGTAGTCGATTCAGTGATCCGGTCCTCGCAAATAATTTTACTCAAAAAATGTTTAGACTTCAGAAATTCGTGGACATTATTCGCGAATAGGTGGTTTATTTTCATCACTGCTTTTGATGACCAGAAATGCAATGATGGGTGATTAGACCAATTTTCTTTTATCCATGTCAACGTAGGGTGGATCCGCTGATGTAAGCAACGCATGACAATCTGAAAAAAAGTAATTGCTCAGCAATATGTCTCACCAAGGAATCTAATTTATTTCAATTAGTTGATCATTTCATTACCTTTCAACAAATACCTTTCTGCTTATTGCACGATTTAAATAGATTCCACTCATAAATTTATTTTGGACGCAACAAAAGGTAGGTATTAGAAAGTAAAACTTCTTGAGAGAATGAGTAAACATTACTTAAAATAAAGTCACCTAAATATCAAAACTCAGATATAAAAACAGAAAACCACTGACTATAACTTGAAACCAAATAAGATAACTTCATTGTAGCCCTTTTTAATTATGATCACTTCATAGTCATTGATATTTATTGGATACTTTTGTATCCTAAAGATGACAAAAAATGTCCGTATTAAACTAAATTGGAGCAGATGCATAGAGGAAAATGAATAATATCGCTGTGGTGAACTGTGAAGAGTGATGAAACCAACGAACTTACAGTTTGAAGCTTGTCTATTAGCTGATAAGTTTGGCAGAATAAATACAATCTTTTTGCACAATAGTTTTCAACCAGCTCTGAACAATTGAACTGGAGTGGATTTCTTGTGAATGTTATAGTGTCAGTAACACAGTGACGTCGGTAGATAATTATATATATATATTTTGATTGGAGTGGATTTTATTCATATAAAAACAGTATAGCCACTGTTTGCTATAACATAACGAAAAGTACCAATTAATAGCATTTCTCTGAAGGTGGCATGAAGAATCAATAAAATAACTATCGGTAATGAACGGGTGAAAGATTTTTACATTTGACTATCAAATGTTCAACCAAAAGGTTGAACTGTGGAGATCAGATGAGACAGTTGAGTTGTCTGAAGACACAGTAGTAATTCATCTATAGGCTAACATGTCACAACTCGTATTCCAGTTAGCTATCGTAAGGAGAGAGATCATGACAAAATGGGAAGAAATGAATAAATAAGTACCGTTCTATGAAAGGATGTTGGTAAAATTCGGTCATTACACAAAAACATTGACTTTGGTCCATAGGAGCGAGTGAGAGCAATAATCTGGAATTTGTAGTATTTGTCATGGAAGACTTAGTGTTCTTACGAATTGCTTTTGTGAACATATGGCGGATCATCTAGGCGCATTTCGATTGCTTTCGATATGTATAAAATGTGACTCTGTTTCTCTTGAATTGGCGGCTGCGAACATATAAGGCAACCGGAAACACTGTTCACTCTATAGAATGAAGTGATTGGGAACATCACATTTCTGCATGTTCTACCAAGCTGTTGATCAGGCGGGGCTACCCAGCGCACCATCCACAGTGTATCATTTTCAAAAGCTTTGTCATTGGAAAACAATGAATCCCAATTTAGTTCTTCGCTACCAGTGGGAGAAGAAAATATACAAACAATACTGTTGAAAATGGCTGGGGGTGATTTGAGAGGTTGTCCAGAGCTGTACGCTTTCCATGTCAGACTAAGACTTGAGTATGGTATTGCGGTAACATACCCCTGCACGGCCAGTGAACTGGATAACTTGGGGCGTGTACAAAGTGCTGCCACCAGACTCGTTGTTGGACTACACGAGACCAGCAATGAAGGTCATCTGCAGGCTACTGGTCTGTTTTCACTTGCGTATCGCCGCCTCAGGGGAGATTGAATCTGCCTAAAGAAGATCCTGAGAGGTGATACGGGCCCGGAGTTGCGACAGCACTCCCCGTTACAAACAGAGGAACGCACGCGGAGGCACTCTCTCATGTTGCGTGCACTTCAGTCAGTTGATCTTCCGTAAGTCTACCGACTCTCGCGGAGGTCAACAACAATCTGGAACTCCCTCCTAGCGACTTTGGTGAAGGATAAGACCGACGCTGCTTTCAAACGGCGTCTGGATGAGTACCTGGAGGGTCTATGAAGAAACGAACTCCTGTGATCGAACCTTCAACCCAGTGGTACTAGAGCTTACATGGGTATCCTGCCATCTTCCCTCAATATTGAAGACTGAAAACATTTTAGGGCAACATCGGTTCCAAACTACAGTCATTACCAATGAAAAGAAACGGGTTCACATTTCGCTACAATTTAGGGACGGCGAAAATGCCATTAAGGTAACACGTAAACATCTGGGGGTGGGGGTGGGAATCATTTATCGCAGCAAAGATTTCAAAGTAATGGAATACGGGTCACCAAGTGTTGATATGTATGCCACAAGTGCTGTGTTCAGTTTAGTTCAGTTCTTACAACCAATAACCAAGCACTTTCGTGAGCCGGTTTTGTTTGCTGTTTTCCGATTACTCATTTGGACAAACCAACAGAATTGAGATCAGGATGTTAAGAGCAAATTGAAGCAAAAGATAGCAGTAACACTGGCCAAACAGCTGCAGCATACACTCAACCCTTCACACATTTGGATGTCACAAAGGCGCCACAAATGTTTCGAATTGGTGAATGCCAATGGAGCCTTTTGTATGCGCGCCGACGCTTCATCTGCGATGCGTCCGCCGGGTGAGATATAACTGCCTCTATTACTTCCCCAGTCACAATGAGACTGGGTGCTGGATTGCCTCAATCTTGTAACATTTTACACTTTAAGGTACAAAACGCATACCAAACATGGCTACACTAGAACTCAAACTATCTACAAAAAATTGCAACCTACCTGGATCTTCACTCAGTAGCACAATGTCGTCTGCATACTCTAGATTAGACGGTCTGCAACCCGAGAGTAAATCAATAACGCTATCCTTGCACGAGGATAAAGCTGTTTCAAAAATTAAATCTATAAGAAATTTAAATAGAAACGGAGAGAGAGCGCATCGCTGTCCAACACCACTTTCCACGGTGAAATCGTGCTATATGATTCTAACCTAGATCCGTGATTTTCATACCACCTGTAGTAAACAGAACGTTTGTCAATTTCAGCTGCCATTGTGAGAAACTTCTGTCATGAAAACTGATATAAAAAACCTACTTGCCTCAAAACCAACGAGTCACATAAATTATCATGTAGAAACATCAAGTTGACTTACATGGTAGACTTCTTTCTCGATTTGTTCTGGGGATTTTTTTGTTTCCTCCACTTCGATGGTATGACACAAAGATGCAACGGTCAATAATTTTTCAAGTTCTGGGGGCATCTTATCCAGCAGTTTTCTATCCGGAAGCTCAAATGTATCATCTCCACCCAGTCTTCTGTGCTCTGACCTTCCCAAGGGTTGATCGACTTCCATAAGTTGATTTTCATTTCTAACCACGTAAGTTCGATTTGATGGAAAAACAGCAATTGATTTCAGCGTCATAATGTTTTTTGTAAGTGTGCCTGTTTTGTCGCTGAATAGGTATTCAACTTGTCCTAGTTCGTCTGCTACATGAATGGTTTTGGTAGTAGAACCCAGCTGTTGTTCGCAGTCATACATTTCATTATCATTAGAAATGAATGAAGCTAAAAACATCTGGACTACTTCCAGACTTGTGAGAAGCGATATATGCACCAAAGTATTCGCTGTAAAGCTATAGAGGAAAAGACCCTGAATGAATCTCCAAGCAGTGAAGTTTGATGACTGCAAATACCAAATACCCTCCATATTTCGAGCTGCCCACAATCCAGTGGCAATAGTAAAGAGAATACTTAATGAAAGAGACGCAATACCGAAGCCTATCAGGTTCGTGTTAAGTTTCGACTCCCGTGAAGTAAATTTTCTTGAAACCATTTGCGAATTTAATGAAAGCTTCGTGTCTTTTCCAGTGTATATTGGCATTCCAATGATATATTCCGTGTTTTTCAACTTTGCACCACGAAGGAGAATGTTTTCGAATAGAACGGTTTCACAAACATTATCTCCTGAAGAACTTTCTGCTTCCACTTTTAGTTTTCCCTCGAAATGTCTCAAGTCTGGTGTTGGTTCTTCACATTCCACACTGATAAGCAGTTTGTCTAGCCAGGGAAGTGATTGGTAAGCGACGTTCTCATCGATATTAGCCAAACGTAGAAATGCATCTTGCGTAGCAACATGTGCAAAATGAGTTTTTAATGATGTCTCTCCATCCAGATTGGCAGTTGTGACCTCTACTTTTCTTTTAGGATCACTGGAGGCCAGGATAAGCATGTCGCAGGGAAACTCATCATTCTTTTCACATCGGATAATGTTTCCAACGACGATAGCGTGTGATTCCTTTGCCATCCATACCATAGATGATGATTCCATATCAATATTGAGATACACAAATTGTTTATTGTTCAAGATTTTGTCATTTTTATGACGATGAACATCGGAAATACCATCTTTAATCATTGTTAAGCCCATATTGAAAGCTATTACGATGAAAAGAGAAAAAGCGATTTGTGGTCCGATTGAGAAAAAGTAAACTACCATCATGATAGTGAACACAAGATTTGGAATTTGATGAAGTTGTTCGAAAATATTTTTTGGTAAGAAATTCCACCATGTGTAATGCGATGTTACTATGCGGTTGTCGCAATATCTCTGACATTTTCTAGCTTTTAAAGGGTTGTAGGAAATTATTCCATTTGGTAGAATTACTCTTCTGCCACACTTGGATACACTGTCTCGAAAGCGGATCATTGTTAAATAACATAACTCAAAACAGCGTTCAATTCAAGGTCAGTTCAGTTCAGTTCAGTTCAGTTCAGTTCAGTTCTCCCAGGACGAATTGTGGCTCTT